CTCACTCTTTTCCGAGGAAGGGCTTAGACTCACGTTATTAATAGCGAACAGTCGAAGAAGAATCTATAGTCGCTGCGATTACCGATCTTTCTTGCTGGATACAGCGTGTCCAATGAAACAGCGGATGGGCCATATATTTTAAACGGGCCACCCGTCGTTTTTGCACGAGGCTCGCTCATTCCTAGGCGAGACTATGATTATAGAACATTTCGTCAACTATTGTTTGTCCGCGCACCTGTTTTTTCTAGTAGTTTACGTCCACGCATTTTTCCGGCAAATTATGCTAAACGTTATTAAATACGGATGCTAGGACTTAGTAAGTTTTTGGACTACAGTACCGCTCTCCTTTTGTGCCATAGTATCTTGATTTATTTTGCGAGGGAAGCTCCGTATTCTTAAAGGATGCCTGTCATTCTTAATAAGTTGGAGCGCCTTCAATTTTGTATGATACTGTGCAATACCTCTGATGTGAAATAGTTGTTTGAGGCGCCGCCGTGGCACGCTGCGGCGCTGCGGGCGGCCGGCTAGCGCGCATTGGCGCCTACAAACCTAAGGGGATACTTCAAGCATTGCGCAATGCGTGAAGTATCCACTTAGGTTTGTAGGCGCCAATGCGCGTTTCGCGCTGGCAGCACGGGCACGCCGCGCCGTTCCGCTCTGTGTTAGGCTCTAATATTTAAACTCACGGAGTCAGCGATTTTCAACTCATGATTTTGAAATGTTTTCACACTCTGCATGGATTATTCTCATTTAAATTGATGGAAAAAATAAGTATAAGAGGAAAATATAAACGTGTGTTTTGTAAATATTAAGGTGATTCCGTGTCGAATTTAATGATTTCCAAAGCACTTTGATTTTTTCGTTTATATTTTGTGTTTTTACTGTGCTGCAGCATGATTCACGCGCAACCATCCACTCAAATTTGGACGTATTTGACTCTAAAAGATCCATGTACGAATGGGTTAAAACTAAAGATTGCGTGCTTCTTGATTTTTTTCTCTCTTCTATTCATTTTTGTGTAGTTTCTTTCAACCCAACTACGGCTGATTGAGATTGATATAGATGCCATCGCTTGGAAAAGGTTTCACAAATATTTGCCACGGTTTAAAAATGTAAATGTTTTTAAAATGAAGTAATAATTTCATTAAAAAAAAAATAAAAAAAAGCTATATACAATTTATATTTTATATCAACAATTTTAAGGATAGAAATAAAACCAAATACTCACCAATGACAATTTGAAAAGACAAATCAAAAAGAGAAAGTAACATTTCATTTAAAAAATGAGTTACCATAATAACACCTCTTTCTCTCTCTCTAATTGAGAGAGTCAGATTGAGAGTCTCAATTTTCTCATTTCAATACTGTCATTATAATATTATTTGGACAAAAATATAACACTTGGACCGAGTCACTCTTGCTTATTTTACGCGTGGACGTAAACTACTGGACAAAACAAGTATTCGGACAAAAAATCGTTGACAGAATAACCTGAAACCGAGACGATTCATTTTCACTTTTTCGATAGCGATAATCAAATTTCAGAGCTAACTTATTGTAGATTTTGTGGTACCTAAAAACTGCCCAAAATCAGTTCATTTGCCATGCTTTTTCTCCCTAAATCATTGATAGTTTGAAAATTTCCGTCACAGACTCTTCACAATAAAAAAAATGAGTATTTTCAAATTTGTCTCTTTCGTATTTCCAACCGACGGTATTTTTAAGATTGAACATATTGATCGAGTTGATGTCAGATCACATTGCTGTACCGGTGAACGAAAAAATTTTCCCCCGTCACCCCCAAAATAATATTGATCCAACCACAATCCTGTGTATTAGCTCAAGGTACAATCAGATAGAGGTCTATTTCAGGAGGACACAGCGCAGTTACAGGTGCGTGCAGCAATCACAAAAGATGCAAGTCAAAGTTCATCATTACTATACAGCGATTATAAAGCTAATGCGAATTGTATGAAATTTCCCATAAATCAGTGACACTGCGTTCAAAAGGTTAACTGAAAATGCTCATAAATTAACCCCTAACACCCACCCCCCTCCGTCTTGCGAAGCTTTTGCTTTTCTCTTGTCGACCATTTCGAGGGGAAAGATTTTCAAATTGCGAGAAGAGCAGGTCTGAAAACCCCCGAGTGCAGTTTCTATGCTCCGCGGTTTTTCTCTCTGACCGATTCTATCAATTCGTGGGTTCGTTGCGTGTATTCCTTTAGGGCACCGCCGTACCCTGTGCCCCGTTCCGTACCGGGTATTCTCTATTTGAGTTATGGGATCTCGGTCGGGTTGCAGATAGAAATCAATTTACCCAAATGAAAAACCCATTCATTTGCTTCTCGTGCGGTTCCACGGCGCGCAGTAGTTCGAATACCATTCCAAATTCTCGAACCCGTTTCTATCGAGCTCTCCTTTGATCCTTCGATGGATAAGAGAGAGGTTGAGGTAAGTTGTAATTGGACGTATTTCTGCCAAACGGAGCTAAGTGCATTAAGAAATGAGCCCTGATGTCTATTATATATATGCATGACAGGGCTCACGTCATAATGCACATAGTTCCGTTTGGCAGAAATACGTCCAATTGAACTTCTACTCCCGTCCTCCTACACCTTTATTGGCATTTGCAGTTCAAGAATAAAATAAATAAAAAAATACATTAACAGTAAATTTCAAGATTGATTTCCTTCACTAAGGTGCATCGAGACTAATTAATTTTGATGGAATCTCTTTCTGACTGGACAGAAAGGTTAAAAAGTGTTAAAAAACGGTGTAAAAATTGATGCTGTAGTTTGTTAACCTACAGATAATACGAAATTTTTCATCGATTTCTTCTGGTGAGATTCTTCTTCTGAAACCTGATTCTGGTCCTATAAAAAGTAACGAGTTCTGAATTAAAAATTAATAAAACTATGTCGTGGTAGAGTCCGTTGTCGGCTTTAATATGTAAATTAATAAATGAATGAATGGATATAAAAAGAATGAATATGTAAATAAATGTAGGAGGTTCGCTTGACAGACTTGCCTTACTCGTTGTATGAGACCGGCTCATACGAGTTTTTAATACAGGTCTACAAACACATCGTAAAGAAGAATCAGATATCAAATTGAAAAAAAAGAAGAACATCGAGTGTCGACACCGTCGAGTAGAGGAGAGACCTATTCGGGCCTCGTTTTTAAACTTTGCTTCCGACTCTCAGCACTGACAGCATATGTAGCGCAAAGCATTGCGAGTTCACGCCTCGCGCCATAGCGCCTTCAATTTTGCAGATGCAACACGGACATCCATCAAGCACGAATAGTTGTATCTCTGCGCCGTTACCAATGCGCTTTGAAATGTCTCTGAATTCTAACAAAATTTAAGGTTAAGTTTGCTCAAAATACGCTACGATGTGTTCCAACCAATAGTCATTTGAGGAAGGAGGAATATTTAGGGGAAGAGGTGTCGGCGCACAAAAAATTGGTGTTGTGGCAAGAGTTGTGTTGTGTCGGAAAATTTTTTTAGTAACGACTGTCTATACCTAGATACCTTAAGCCAGGTCAAATTGATTTGACTATCTCTTCTGGTGGAGTTTCATAGGTGAATGAGGCGGGGAATGAGGAAGCGCCAATTTGTTACCGAAACGGTGAAATTAATTTTAAAAAAAAGTATTTCTAACCCTAATAAACATATAACTAACATAGATAATACTTCAAAACTATCACGGTGTGTGTATTCAAGCACGAGTAAATTTGATCCAACTTGCCTCTGCATATAGAAAAATCTCGAGCATTCAAAGGTTAAGATTCAGATCCGTGTACTACTTCGACGGGAATATTTTGCGTTTAAAACGTTTCAATTCGACAGATTTCCACTGGAAACCGGCCAAATTCACGAGTATTTGTTGCGGTTCAGAAATAACCATCAATAATGAAAAATGATTGAATGGAAGGATAATTCCCTTCAGACTCCATAAGTCTGATGTTTTGAGAAGTTCAACTCGTGAGCCATTGTGCGCCGTGATGTCCAGGGAGCGAGAGCCCGCTTATTTTGGACGGAAAGTATTTCTTCCCACGATGTGGTGTTCATTAGATTTCGTGAGCTCGTCCTGCATTGATGTAAAGCTCTGTCTGATTGACACTGAGGAGGATTTTTGCAAGGGCGGGTGCTAACTCCGCGCAATGCAATTTTTCTCTCGGTATCCCTTTAATACCTCATCCACTCAGCTGCATTCCATTTTCCGATTTGCCTCATTCGATCTTTGCTCGATCAAAACACAATATCGCTATAAATAAAATTCTCCTCGGTGTTCTGTGTTAAGTAGGTACCTACGTTAAATTCGAAGACAAAATACGGGGGTGGAGTTCGAAGTGAGTTTACGATTCATTTTATTTGTTTTCTTGTAGCTCGAAAAGAAGCAGACATGGGAGGGAAATTGCACCATTCCTGAAAGCAAACGTATTCATATGCACATTCTCAACGGGTTATAAACCTCACAAATTGACTCATCGCGGATTGTCGAGAAATCATAGATTCCCTTTGTCTTCCTTACCTTTATTTTTGTTCCGTTGCCCACTCCCAAATATGGAGAAATACTACGCAGGTGTATTGCAAGCGTAGAATGTGTGCATTTCTGAAGCTTTTTTTTTAACATGTGTTTGGTTACATTATTGTGAATTGATAAACAAAACCAAAGACCGCGTGAATCAAATGCAGTATTTCAAAATGTTTGCTTCTTCTTGTTTGAAAGGAACCCAGCCGAGTTGTTTGCTCGAAATCATAGCAGGAGATTTGGCATTAAGACAGAAACAAAACAGTTTTTCTTTTTTTTAAAAGAAAATCACGTATATCAGTTTGCAACTAAAATGAAAGTGTAAAAGAAAGTCTTCAAAGTCGCAAACCCATATGCATGGTTCTTGAGTTTTAAAATCGATACATGCATATTCGTATTACGGTTCTAGCTTTTGATACCATCAGATTAAGAATTTACATCTATTGTCTCTTTTTTCTGTTGCAGGTTGAGGATCAAGAAAGTGAAGCGGTATACCGATCAAGTAATGGACCCAGAGTTCCACATCTCGGTAAAAAAACATTTACACTGAATTAGGATATTATTGACTTTTTTAAACCACTGTTAGAATGCCCTTTGAAGAGATTCTTATGTGATTACAAGGTCATCTTGTTCTGGTTAAAACAGACTTAATAAAAGTAATACAAAATTGGAGATAAAACTATAGCTAAAAAAGAATCAAATTTAAAAGCATGTTTTTAGATTTTCTCTCTCATTTCAAAAAGTGTCTGTTTTTGTCAAGTATTGAACAAAGATTAAGATCATTTTGCATGAATGTTAACTCGGTGTCAGTAGATTTTTGAAAAATTAATTTCATATTGCATGGAATGAAACTCAAGTGGCTGGATTTATAATGGGCATGATCTTGCATTTAATACTTTATTTCAGTTTTTTTTTTAAATTTTTAAATAATTCTAACCTTTCTCAACTAGAATATCGTCGATAAAGCTACAAGATTACGTGTCTTGGCTTATCTCGATTAAAATCTTCTCTCAAATTACTTTGACCTAAGTCTCCTCAACTGACCAAATCTTTCATGAAGATGATACGGACTACGTCAATTATTGTAATCCTCCTTCACATTTCTAAGGCGCAATGATACAACTATTTGAACTCTCCGGAATGCGTGAGGTATCATGCCGCATTTGAAGGCGTTTTCAAATAAGCCAAGTTCCGATACCCGGATTATCGTTTTGCATACTTCATATTCTTTTGTTTTATTCCGTACCACTTGTTTCTTTTTAATCCTCGTATAAAAACCACCCATTTGCTAAACACAATTCTAGGCAGTGCGCACTTCAGCTATGCATTCACCACTGCAAAAATGTCACAGGAAATCGACAAGCCCAGCGTGCATGAAGGCTATATTATTGTGCCCTCATACGGGAGTGAATTTCAAATATTTCTGATAAACCTGACTTGTGCTCCTTGAGATTTTACGCGTGAAAAATCGACGCAGCTTGCTATAACTCTTGTATCATACATCTTAATTGTATCGTCCATGAGTTTATCTACTTGTTTTGCCCCCTGCTGCTTGAACAGCTTCAATCACAGATTATCCAAATGCCACTTTACGTACACACAGCTCCTCTGAATTTTTTGTGACGTGACAGAGGGATGATTTGATTGGCATTTCAGGGTTTTTAATTAATCTTCAGGATTTGCCGATCAATCACTTTACAGATTTGAAGTTGGGATGTAATTCCGATGTTTGTCCCATTGTGCGAGTGTCGTATCCGAAGTGAACAACGTTTAGAGTCATTTTCACCAGGGTAACCGGGACTTTTACTTCTCTGCTGTCCTCAAGAGGAACAACGTATGAACATTTGAATATTATCAGGTTTCCCTGGATTAAGTATCTGTTTTTGAACTAAGTTTTACTTGTTTTTCCTTGAAAGTTTCAAATTATTTAGAAGAAATTACGAATAGAATTCTTCGAAATATTGGGAGAAAAATAACGACAAGTTTTCGCGAAAAGTCGTGTTTTATCGAAAGGTATTTGGCTCGTCTGAGGGCTCATACGGCGCTCTGCCTTAGCACTGCATTTATGAGGTGCCGATAACCCACGCCGCGAGTTAGGCCTCCCCCCCTGGGCCCCCACACTTCTTCCCCTTTTGAGTGTCTATATTATTTTCGTAATAACTCACTAAAAAAACGGTTTCCTAAAGGTGGCCGTGAACTGAGAAAAATCAGCGAGAACAAAGTATATGTCTTGCCTTCGGAGGTGATTTCGTATGGTATTAAAAGGCTCGCAGCAATAATAAATTCTTTGGAAATAACCACCTCCGTAGTGTTTTCAAGTGACCTCCTTTTTACAATGCACTGCACTGTTCCTCCAGAATTATATTTTTCGGGGATTACTGTGGGAAGGGCTTTAAATGTAATCTTAGTAGCTTATCGGAAATTAATTTTATCTCGTGCTCAAAGCGTTCCATAACGTTTCATCTTTGAGAATTCTAGTAAGAGCCATTTCTTCCCTCTTTGATAAATTGTGAAGAGACTTAATCCTAATACATGTGAAAATAACATGGGCGGGTCTGGACACCTCGAACGGGAGAGGGCGTGAGGGGGGTCCAGAGGCCTCCCCCAGAAACTTTTTGAATTTTTGAAGCAGCTAATGTGCAGTTTGAGTTAATTTCGTCACGAATAATTACCAAATGTAAGCGCCTTTCCTTCCCTTTTCCTGTGTCACTTCCTTCTTTCTACCTTCTCTTTCTCATTGTTTTTCGGAGAGAGGGGAAGCGTACGCCCCAACGCCCCCTGGATCCGCCTTTGGAAAATAATATGGCCGTTTTCATTAAATTAATAAAATTAACTGTCGGCCTCCTTTGAATGCTATATCTGATAGGCCAGCATTATACTCTGAGAAATAAATCCATAGCCCCGATGGCATATTGGTTCAAAAATTAACAAGAGAGACAGATTTTTTCAAATCATCGATCTCGCCCTTCACTCGATTGTTTGTGCAACATTTCAAAATTTCAAAATTTCGATGACTAACAGTGAAAAATTGTTTTAAAAAATGTAACATGTTTTTGATCCGATATTTTCGTCGATCATTTACGCCACGCCACTATTCTGCCGTGCTAAGGAAAAACGCCGTATGAACCTTCAGGCGTTTCGAACTTTCCTTTGATAAAACATGAATTTCCTGGGAAACTTATGAATATTTTTCTTCCAATTTTTCAGATAATTTTGTTCGCTATTTCACCTAAAGTCCCGGAAAATTTCAAGGAAAAATATTCATATCTTTCCTCAAAAATAAACATTTCATCGAAGGAAATTTGGCAACTCTAGAATGTTCATACGGCGTTCTTCCTTAGCAAGGCAGTATTGCAGTGCAATATTAAGCTCCTCTCGCGTTCACCCCTTCAATTTTTTAAAATCTTGGCGTGAAGCAAATCGCGAGAATTTCTCGATCGACTGTGCCTTGGGAAAAACTGTCCTACAGGATTTTAACCGTTTCAGAAAGGAGGTGGGACAAGTGTGAACAGCATTCAAGGCTTGAACAATCGTGGGTTTACACTCTGCATAAAAATGACAATAACGTGGCGGCCCGGAGCTCGGCGCCCGTAAATACCTATAACGCAGCCCGCACGACGCATATTCCGAACGTATTGTGCCGCTGCACGTGATGAATACTCGCACTTCATCTCATGACAGGAAGCTTTTAAATCCATTATTTTCTGGCGCAGGTATTTCTCTCCTTTTAAACAAACTCCGAGCGATCTTCGAATAAAAATGCCTCGTCCGTTTGTCCATTTGTAGGGTGTCTCTTATTTTTTATCGCACATACTCTTTCAAGTCCGAGGTGGTCCGAGAGATGAATTGTGAGGTTATTGATCTAACACTCACGATACTTCAGAATTGTCGTTAAAATGCTCCTCTCTCGTTAAATCAGAAAAATCGCGACAAAAGACAAACACACGGAATTAGAAGCGAGAATTTCGAAAAAAAAAAAACAAATTCGAGGAGTGAAACTCGTTGTGACCATCCTCATTTCAAAGGCGGATCCAGCAATTTGGCAACGCCGGATTTCCTCCATTTAAACCTATGCTAAGTAATCGATTTTTGTCGGAACACCTAGCCCCTCCAAGAATCGATACATTTCCATAGGTTTAAATGGAGGAAAGACAATGTTGCCAATTTGCTTTAAAGATGTAGGGTAATGCTACTTCGCAATAAAGATCCCAAGTTTGGAGTCCAGAGACTTCACTAACCCCATCGATGAGATTCTGCATCGATTCGGAGTGCATTCATTCTCGAGTTATTTCTTTCGATCTGTCATGTTAAAAAAGTGCTATTGCCAGGATGTTACCAGATTTCCTTTGATAAAAACGAATTTTGTGTCAGATTTCTTCTTTGAGGCTCTCAGGAGACTTTTTCGGCAATATAATCTAGTGTATGTGAAAATGTAAAAAAAAAGCTTTTCTCGAAGGTCAACACTAAGATTCGTCTGGTGTGACTTATCAAAATAGTTGAGCAATCGGTTCAACAAACCTAATGTAATTTGCAAAAACTCACCCAGCAGAGTATTCACTCCAGCAGTTACCAGTCATTAATACGCAAATATTAAACTCAAAAACTTTCTCATTTTCAACGATTAAAGTGGAAATTGCCTTTAGAAGCGAGGCTGTACAAGAATACGTCAAATTTTGGAGAAGAAGAAGAAAAAACCGTGTCGTAAACTAGAAATTTATAGATTTTTTGAGGAAGCCTTCCTGAGGAGAGCGAAAGCGCCCGATTTTTAATAGAATAAATTAGCGCAAGTGAGTAAATTTTTTAAAATTTAAAGTTGCTCATTAGTTATCATTCGGTGAAAAGTAGCGTTGACCTCTGGACGTGACTTTTGTCTCGCCCGATTGCATTGATTGTTAGCGCGGGGTCTCAAAAATATATTGACTCTAATAACTCCCCCTTGAATGAATATTTCACGGAGGAAACTCGGCAACACTCAAATACCCGTACTGCGTTCTTGCGTACGTAGCACGGCAGCAAAGGCACTGGATGCTTCTTTCCGGAACACTGGACAGCTTCAAGATTCCGGTTAGCTTCTCCGCATGTTTACTTTACATTTCAGAGGCCGGAAAGCGCGGCGGTCTTTGAACCTTTTACTCGGGGTTTCGATCGGAGTAATCGGATTGGGGGGCCAAGGGGGGAGGGGTTGGGGGCAGGCCGGCGCCCGATCAGTGAGGGGTCGGAATCCAAATCCGCGGGGCGTCCATCCCCTCGAACGGAGAATCAGAATCCTCACTCCTCCCGCCGGATTCTGTAATGCATTTCCGCTATCACCCGTCCAACACTTGGTTGCGCCACTGACTCACTGGAAGGAATAACTCTTATTCTACGTGAGCCTTCAAAAATATGTAGTTAAACGGACGGCGAGGCTCATCTCAAAATGCGCCTACGCTTACACGTCAACTTTTTTCCCCTCGTCAACGGGGACTTTCCCTGATGTGACGTCACTTCACTATTAGGAGAAACGCCGTATGAACATTCCGAAGTTGCCAAGTTTTTTCTAAATAAGATGGGTCAGCTTTGCTAATCCCGAATCGTGTTTTGATGGTTTGGGCTTATATATTAGGAATATATAATAAGATTTGTCCAAACGCCTAGTTTCTACGACCGATATTAACGGAAACGTTGTCTTTCAAAAAAAACAATGGTTGATGTCATCCACCTCGGTGGTGCTTACCATGGTTTCTTCCACCTTATAATTACATTTGCACTAAAATGCATATTTGCCACGAGAGAAGGCTGGTCATGAAATCCGTCTTACTAGATAAGGACTCTATCTAATGGTCATTTGGGTGATGTCAAGTAATTTTGTAGCTGTTATCGATGGGTATGAATTGTCATAATAAATACAAAGGAGGGTACTTTTGATACAAAGTGGTTTACAAGTCAAGTGAGATTTTTTTTTTTGTTTTTTTGTTTTTTCTTTCTTTCTTTTCTTGAATTGAGATATTACTCATTTTGATTATAAACTGGTTGGTGCACGTAGTGAGAGAAGCAAGATTACATAATAGTACTCAGATTCTCATCTTTATTTTTGAATTTCACCCACATTATTCGTTTCTTCGTGATTTTAATGTGTATCGAAAACGCAAAAAACACCTCAACCTCTTCATCCGCAATGGACCACTAGACAAGGTACGAATTTAAGCATTCTGATACATGTTTCTTAACCAGAATTTCACGTAGAACACGATTAGCGCAACGAATATTACTGAAACTAACTCCTAACGAAGATTTCAACGTTTTTATTTCACATTGGTTACGAGGAATTTGAACTGCCCGCTCACAAGAAACTCAAAGCTCTACTCGAGTCAAATCGCGCACTACAACGGTTTCAGCAAGCTCCTCCATCGAGCAATGTTCATTTCCCATTATCATTAATATAAACTTCGAAGGATTCTGCCTTTTTCTATTTCACTCGAGGGGAAGTGTCCCCTCCCGGACTCTCTTCCCCACCCGGTGACTGACGCTGCGCTGTGCTGAACGGTTCAGCCTGAACCTTTCCCCTACGTCTGACCGTTCCCCACTCCTCTGTCAATCGAACCATATGCCACCGCTTACGTATTGTCGCTCGCCCACCCAGGTACCTAGCGGCCAGCGGTCAGTTGATGATAAATCTCGCTCATGCTCCTATGCAGCTACGCATTGATTACGCCAGCTAATTACTTTCTAATAATTAGAATTTCTTCGATAATAGTTTTCTTTATTTATTCGACTGTATTTTTTTCTCTGTTCTACTGTGATTTCCTTGGTTCTCTACTGTGTTTTTCCTAAATCTCTGAGTCAGAAATCTGAAGCACTTCGGTATGCACCGAGTACTTCAGATGTGTGACCTGAAATCTTCGGTATATACCGAACTACTTCAATTGTCTGACCCGAACTTCGGCAGATGGACCTTAACTTTTCGGATGCGTGATCCGAAAACTTCAGAGATCCATATGATCTCAGCTTCGGGTTCCATGCACAAATTTTTTTCTCCGTGTTTCCTTTTAGGGGACGCAACTAAAATTTCAGTAAATTTTTTTCAGAAAAGTAAAGAAAAAAAAAAGAAGAAAAAAAAAGTGGCTAACGATGGTTCCTCACCTTCACGTGGTGTTGGCTGTTTTTACTAAGTGGGAACCGTCCATTTTAAGATATAGTCTATTTCTTGCCCTGCCATTATTATTCTACAAGTTAATTGTGGAGTGAGAATTTCATAATGTTTTCTATGAAATCTTCAAAATATAGTGATAAAAAATTTGCAACTACTACAAAATCGGTTCGCGATGCGAGCCGAATGTCACTCGCGTAGCGAGTGACCGGGGGTCCAGGGGGCGTAGCCCCCGGCTAGGCGTGACGGGCGCGCGAAGCGCGCCCAGAACGGCTAGTATGTTGTTAAAACCACAAGAAATTTACCATAGCTGATTGTGAATCAAACCGTCAAGATTGAGATTTCCAGATTTTTATATTGCAGAGACTATCATGATGAAAGTTTGGCGCGCGATGTGAAACACGTAGAGCATTGAGTTTTCATGAGCGGGCGGTTTGAATTCACGCATCATGAATCATTAAATATCTTCGTAAGGAGTTGATTTCGGTAACTTTTGCTATGCGCATCGTATTTTACGTGCAATTTTGGTTGAGAAACATGTATCAGAATGCTGAAATTCGTACCTAGTCTAGTGGTCCATACCCTTCAATTATTATAAAATGACATGCAATGTAGATTAGTGCATCCTGCATTTACCAAGCCTGCACGCTGTTATTTGTTGTTTTTGCATGCTCTTGCAGAAAGGAACAGGTACGAGCGACCGACCCAGTTGTACAACGACCCGTTGTTGGACCAGGCCCTGAACGAGGTGGAGTACACCCGCCACCGGAACCGTATAGAACATGGCTCGCCGGAAGCAGTCCCGGACCTGGAAAGTGGGTTTCCGCCGAGATGCATGGGGCTCACTTGCCTAGGAGAGGAAACGGAAATGGGTGACGGTTTCCGCTTTTCACACGCACGGGGTAAACGCTCCGAAGTGGCCATCGGTGGCACGGGCACGCTTGACAAGCTAGGGGGTGCTAATCTCATCCGGAAACGGTTCTTTCAACCGGAAGTCAGAAACAGAGAACCCGGTTTAGACGCCACCTGGCACTTGGGCCGCAACAACGCCGAGGACAGGGATTCGATCGCGGTAGACTTCTCCAAAAGAGGCCTCTTCGATAGCTTCTTCTCGACCCCTCGACCCAGTTTCGACTCCAGGGTCGCCAAAGAACACCCCTTCCTAGCTACCTCTCAGAGCGGCTTGTTCAAAGATTACAACTCCCTCCTTCAGATCACCCCCGCGCCCCCGACGCAAAGCTCTTTCAGCCTTGGTAATCTTTTTTGGGGCGGACAGACGAGCAAGAGGACCGGGCACTTGGACCGACTTGGAGGTGCAAATTTGGTCAAGCGACGAGATTCTGATGACGGGTATTTTGAGTCTGTAGGAGGTGGATCTCAGGAAAATGGTGTTCAGGGTCCGCGTGTTTTTTTGGGAGACGATAAACTGAGTTTGGCGAAGAGCCGGATACACAATAAGCCCAGTGAAGATGGAGAGGTGCTTTTTGACTTTTTGAAAGGTACTGTTGTTGGACAAGATGGGGACTCTGTCGACTTTGGTTTCATCCATGGGGAGCCCTACCTTAAGTCATCTCGGGTGGACTCCAGGATTTCAGGAGACAATCCCTTCCAAGGGTTTTTAAGCAATGATTACATCGAAAATCTCGAGAAATCAAATTTGCAAAGGAGAGGATACTTAGATTCCCTCGGTGGCTCGAACCTCCAGAAACGAAGAGTTCTTGACCAACTAGGTGGGCAAAATCTCCAGAAGCGACTGCTCGATAGCTTGGGTGGACAGAATTTACAAAAAAGGGAGTATCTCGACGCTCTGGGTGGACAGAATTTACAGAAAAGATACCGCGAGAGACAGTCTTTACGCAAGCGGTACCTGGACTCTTTAGGTGGACAAAATTTGCAGAAAAAGAGTCATTTGGATTCCTTGGGGGGCCAAAATTTACAGAAAAGAAATTTCTTCGATTTCTTGGGGGACTCTTCGTCAGACGAGGGGCTTGCCGGGGTTGTGAATGATACAAATGGGCCAGGGAATAGGGTAGACGAAATTATTTACGTTAGCCATTCAGTTAAGAGGAATGCAGGCAATGAAACAACGCCTGAGGGTATGGGGGCAGTGGCAAAAGTGGAGATCATTGGTGCACCGCAGCAAGGAGAAAATAAAGAACTTTTCAGAGTCAACTTAAGTGAGGGCAATAATCCCACAAAGTTCACAGAAACTTCGAGCAGCCAAAACTTGGATCCCTTAGGAGGTGCTAATCTCATCAGAAATTTAGACGCTCTTGACGGCTAGGTAAACTAGGCTTCGATCTATGCTCAGAAAAATCCGATCAAAGAGTTAAAAGTCACGTCAACTTAATAACACGAACAAAGACCGTCTGGACTAAAACATTTTACGTTCAGAACAAAAATAATCTAATTTTGATACGCAACCTTGGCTCATATGATTAATTTCGTATTTTGATCATTAAAAAAAAAAAAAAAAAAAAAAAAAAGAAGAAACATCAAAGTATTCTGCCGTGCCAAGGAAGAACGCCGTAAGACTATTCGGGAGTTGCCAAATTTCTTTAGATAAAATTTTATTTTTTAAGGAGAGTTATGAATATATTTCCTTGAAATTTCAAATACTGACGATTAAATTGCGAATGAAGTTCTGTTAAAAATTTAAAGAAAAATATCCACACGGCAAATTCGGATTTTGTAGAGAGAATTTGGCAACGCCTGGCGGCTCATTCGGTGTTTTTCCTTGGCATGGTGGCATTCAGAGGTGATGTTTTTAGATAATACTTTAGGGCTTTGAAAAAACGCATTTTAATACGAAATAACGTCTGGAATCGGAATAAAAATCCGAACGTTCCAAATTTGTCTCGATGATTTACCGTAATGCATAAAAATAAGCGGTTCAACTCGATTTTAGTTGCTCAAACAAAAAAATTCGGTCATGGTCAATTCACGCACCCAATTTTTCGAAAACTGTTTTTGGTCTCATCTAGATAAGAAAAATTGCCGAATTCCATGATAATAAACTGCATTTGTTCCCAGAGTGCCTTCAGCGTTAAAATGTTGTCACAGTTGTCCTATACAAGATGGCTCATTTCACCTCAGTGCCTTCCCTCGTATTTTTTTCTGTTAAAAATTCAATATAGTTAATCTATTATCTAATTCACTTTTTTATACTCAATTGAATACGTTCTTTTAAACATATTTGTTTCATTACTTCTATTTTTTTGTAAATATTCTTGACTTGTCATTTTTTCTTTAAACTGGAGGAAATTTACGACTTATTATTATTATATAATGAGGAAATAACTTCTTGCCTCTACTTTTTAGCACGTTTGTCTTCTAAGGTAGGTTAAGTTGCACTCACACTTTCTAGAGATTATGCATGGAAATTACGCATGTAGGTATCACCGCAAGGCGCATGCAGTTCTAGAATGTGAACTCGGTTGGTTTGTGTATAAATAAATTATTCAAATGGTCTGTATCACTGTTTTTTTCTTAATTTTTCACTTGGATATTTCATTTTTACTTGCATGCCTTAATTTTAACAGAAATACAATACAGTGCTGTTAGAACCACGGCAAAATGTAAAGTAACCAAGTTTGGGTGGTGGATCATGCATGAATCATGATGGACCAAGGCAGGACAAGAATTCAATTTTTCCTCTTTTGACAAACTTTTGCCGACGGAATAATCCGTCTTCCTCCCTCCTTTGGTACTTTTATGCATACCGACGAATAATTTTTTTAGACGTGTGAAAAGTTGCCTCTGATCCTATTTAATTAGGAATAATAAGCTACACTAACCAAGAATCCAAATTTTACACTGATGTTATTTGCCAAAATTACTTTGGTTTTCGATTTACAATCTAAGAAAAACTCAAGAACACTGCTGCAGTTACACTTGATTCATTGTCTCACTGTTTTGAGCAACTACTTGCACTGTCTTGAGCTCTACACATGATTGACTGTATTTGGAAGAGGAAGTTAAAGTGTGCATTATGGAATAATTTTTTGCCTAGTTTTAGGTGCAAGGTAACCCCGAGGAACTAATAAATTTTGAACTTTATTCTTTCTTTCCTCAACTGCAGCCTAATATTTTGTGTATTCACACTTAGACTGAGTAGGCATATTTAAATAATAGGGAGAGGGAGGATGGCTGTGCTCAAAGCAAGAATGACGTAATTTTTAAAGATGGATTCATCGCAGCACTACGAGGTGTTGTATGGAACAAGCAAGCGTTAAAAAACTGTGAATTTAGTGTCGCACGTAATTTTTTGACGATCGTTTATAGAGCGCTGATAATAAATGAAATAGAGGTAAAAAATTTATAGCATCGCCCTACTTCATAACTATTGAAGCAACACTCACTCATCAATATGACACTCTCATATTTTCTATCTTACAAGATGTCCCCTTTTGAGGAGGCGAATGTTCGGAGATACTCTTTTCAGTCATCATGAGGATGCATTTGCGAACGTTGTCCGAACAGTCAAATTTTCGAACCAATGTCATCAAGTGTTCCCCCTCCTTCCGTGGTTTGAGGATGCAATACAACCGGAGTCTGGTTTTATACTTTGGTCCAAAAAACACGCGTTCGTGAAAAGAACCCTAACAAAATAAATGTCAAGGCCGTGTTCTAAATGCAGAAAGGGTGCCTCTCTTCCTTCTTTTTAAAACGTTTGACCCGGAAATTATTCTTCATTGCCATATTTTCAGACGATAACAAAACCGGCGTGTGGGGAATTGACATGCACGTGAAAGTGTCTTGCTTGAAAAGTTTTCTCAATCAAATATGCATGCAACAAAATTGATCATCTTAGTTCTTTCTTTTAAAGACATATCATGGTGTAAGCGGTAAATGTATAAACCTGGATTATGATTGTCAATTTTTACCATTATGGAAAGAATAATTTTTTTAAAAAGGAGTTATATATTTCTTGGCAAATGGAGAAATTTAATTCAATTTACTGATCAACATGAAGTCTTTAAATTGAAAAATACAACTCCTTGTTTCACAAGCAGAAGCGATTTACATAAAGTATTGACTCGCAGCGTTCTTGAATTGCAAGAGAAAAAAATTCTAAACTTTTAACGGCAACTATGAAGGGAGAGAAATTGCTCTGGACGTTTAACTGTAATATTGGGCAATAAAATACAATGGGGCAATACGAATCCACTTATGCCGTAAAGCGCATTATGTCCCTCTCGTCTGATCTTGTCGTTATTTCTGTGAAAAAAACTATTTCAAGCTATTGTGCATCGTCTAATTAATTACAAACCCTCATATCTAAAGCGAAATGGTAACATCCAAATCATATGAATATTCTCAATTGATTTTCCAGAACATTTGATGTCTTTTCTCTCAATGGGCCTGTTGCAAACTTTTGCTATATCAAAACTAAGATTTGTTTCTTATAGATAATGCCTCAAAAATCACGATGAGCGCATTGGCAAAGTCTGAAACGCACTCATAACTTCACAGTCTGCGTAAGAAATTTGCGGTTTTTTGAGCTTCCCGCTCCAAAAACGATACTACGGCACAGGTGAACGTTTTGTTAGAGGAGGCGTTCCAGCGTCGGCAATATTCATCATGGCCGACGCCAGTTCGCCAAAACACGTATGATGAGACGAGATATCACCTGAACAGCATTAGACCTGATAACAATCGGCGTGTTTACGTTCATATTTTCCTCGCCCGCCTCAATTGACCCTGAACTCACCTCGAATTACGCGCGGAACTGCGGAAGCGTCGGCCATGATGAACATTGCCGACGATGGAACGACTCCTCTAACAAAATGTTCACCTGTGCCGTAGTATCGTTTTTGAAGCGGGAAGCTCAAAAAAACGCAAATTTCTTACGCAGATTGTGAAGTTATGAGTGCATTTCAGACTTTGCCAATGCGCCCATCGTGATTTTTGAGGCATCATCTGTAGGAAACAACTCTTATATTTGCTCTAGCAAAAGTTTGCAACAGGCCCATTGAAAGGAGCAATGGGGAGTTGTAAATGCAAATAACAAGTTCATTATGAAAAAGGAAACCTCTAATCATTATAAACAATCACAATATCCTCCTCCTTTCCGCCGTATCTTTTTTATTTGCTGTTCCCTTAACAAGCTCCGGAAGTCTTCTTGAGGCGGAAAAACTTCTCTGAGTTGGCGTTGGATGGCTAACATCCCATATAAAAAGCACATAGAATTAGTTCCTTGTCAGCTTGTTTGAAAAATAAGTATGACACACCAATTTTTCATTCTGTAAAACAGAAATTAAAGATAACTTGACAATCTCATGAATATTTCTTACTTCATTAAATTGTATCCGTGGAGGGAAAACATTATTATGACGATCATTAATGAAGAATGTTGCATTCAAAAAAAATATCCAGGCTAATATCATTCTTTGGTGGGAAGTTTACTGGGTGAGGGATTCGCTCGCTGGTTGTAGAAATTCTTATCTAATGCGAACCTTTGAGGCACGGAATGCATTTGTTGCAGTAAAACTTTTATAGTGCCAGAATGGTTTAAAAATTTTGTATAACACGATTTAAGAAAATATGCCCACCAAAATTCAACTCAGTTTTTTTTGTAAGGACTCAGTTTTAATTTTCTGCTAACTTACTTTTGAGATGATACGCAGTTTACTTCATAATCAGTTTTTTGCCCAATGACTGTTCAACATGAGCATTTATATTTATGAAACACTCTAAAAAAGAAAATTGAATTGAAGAATATGGGGCAGTTAATTTTTGGAGGAGCTACTAAAACAGGAGCAGAAATTTTGCGACAACAATGTAATACTAATACATACCTCATCCGCCTCCCCTTCCTTTCTATCACAAAGCATGTATAATGCGATTTGGAGTCAAGACCTAAATAGAAAGATTATGTATATTTGTTCTTTTCAATAATCTGCCATCAGCCACAAGGCGGTATTTAGCAAAAGGGAATAAAGTGTTATGGACTTGGAACGTAGGAAATTAGGCTTGCATTTTCAACCTCCTACTTCGCTCGATTGATAAAGATAAAATTTAAGTAAAACTTTCACACATTTTATACTTCCGGCTGACCTCAAATTTATGGAAGAAAAAAATGTTTCTTTATAAGCCTATAAAATCCTCTTCAATTTTTTTTTAATGTCACTCAATTTCCTGCGTGCTGCCCAACGTGTTTCCTTAGAATCTGACCACGCTTATTCATTTAAAAACCATTTTTTTCCTGTCAATCAAGTTTTTAAATCAAGGAAAGAGGAAAAACAATCCGAGGAAAAAAATCAGAATTCGGTTGAAACGCTGAAGAGCAAAATGTTTCATAGCCGCGGGCAGGTGGTTCTCAGACAAGAATTCAAATACTCACCTTTAGATTAAATCCTCCTCTTGAGAAGGGAAGAGATTTGTGAGGTGTACTCTGACGTAGTTAATCACGGTGTGGATCAAGTCATTTTGAAGAAGGAGCAAGCAAAAAATTAAAAAGTCGTGATGATCAATCGAAGATAGC